CGTGACAGACGGTGTGGGGCGGAGAAAATCACAAACAGTGACACATTGGGCGGCGCGACCAGCAGAGACCGAGACAGACGGTGGGGGTGAAGGCCATCAGAGACCGAGACAGACGGTGGGGATGGAGACCATCAGAGACCGTGACAGACGGTGGGAGGCGGAGACCGTGATAGACGGTAGGGGGCACACACGGCCATGAACAGTGACAGAGGGTGGGGAGTAGAAACTATCACAAAAGGTGTCAGATTGACCGGCGAGACCATCAGAGACCGTGACAGACTGTGTGGGGCGGAGAAAATCACAAGCAGTGACACATTGGGCTGCGAGAGCATCACTGATCGTGGCAGACGGTGAGGAGCAGAAATCATCACAGACCGTGACAGACGGTAGGGGCAGACACGGTGACAGATGGTGGGGCCAGACACGATCACAGACAGTGATAGATTGGGAGTGAGGCCGTGACAGACGGTAGGGAGCAGACACGGTCACGGGCAGTGACAGAGGGTGGGGGCAGAGACCATCACAAACAGTGACAGATTATGGCGCGAGAGCATCGCAGACCGTGGCAGACGATGTGGGGCACAGACCGTCAGAGACAATGACAGGTTTGGGGGCGAAGCCATCACGGACTGTGATAGACAGAAGGTGGTGACCGAGACCATCAGAGATGATCTAAATAGGGCAGGATTAAATTAGAATTAAAATCGATCAGAATAAGATTTTCCTATCGATTAAAATTGATTTTTAATCAATTTTAATCGAAATTATCAATGCAATTATTATGCAACAAAATCGAAATTAAAATCGATTATAATCAGAAATTTTCAATCGATTATAATCGGACGATTATAATCACGATTATAATTGTCCGTCTCTGATTATAATTGATTGATAATTTCTGATTTTAATCGATTTCAATCTTGATTTTGTTGCAGAATAATTGGATTTGTGATTTTGATTATGGCCATAGGATTTTGAAATTTTAATCAATTTTAATCGCTGAAATTTTTCACTGGGAAGGACTGAGCACACTTTTTAATTCAACTTGATTAAGTTAAATGTTCAGCTGTATTGCTTTACATTTGATAATAGGTGTTACCTATTTTTCAATTGATTTCTTGGTAATAATCGCTAAAGTATAAACGAATTACTTTCTATTGAGATCCAGCTTTTTCTGTAGTTAACCTTTATTTTGTGTGATCATTAGTGTTTATGCCATATTTGTGAGATTGGTATCACTTCGGTTCGATTTTTTCCACAAGGCAGCTATTTTACATAAAAATTCGACTTTTATATAGACCTTGACTGAAAGATTTTGGAATCGAAGAATTGCAGTCCGTGATTGATTCCTCAAAATTTGAATTTGAATTTTTATAATTACAAAAACTTCATTTCACTGAAAACATATGTCGACTTTTCCAAAGAACATTTTGTTATTCAAAATGTTTGTGTTCAATAAAAAGCACCGTTTTCGGCTACATAAAACTTTAATAACAGTTTGCCTTGCCTTCATCCAATTTTCTTCAAAAAAAATCTGTTTTTATGGAAAAATTGATCTTGCTTTCCAAAAACTTTTATTTAATGAAAAATTAACTCAAAACTTTCTGAAGCCGACTGCAGATTTCTTTTTTTCGAAAAAACCTTTCCTTAGGAAGATAAATCAAATAAAAAGGAAGAAAGAAATAACTACGACGCTCATGACCATTCATATGATTGTGGGGTGTGGGTGGTGGGTGTGCGTGCGGTTCCTTCCTTTTACTACATTCACGCCCACAGCGACACCCATCCATATTCTCATCCCACATTCAGAGGCTCACACGCACACCCCACACCCTCGTTAGTTGAAACAATTTGAGTCAGTTTGATGGATGATTATACGCAGAATGATTATCGAATGGTTTCACAATATTTAATGATTTTATGGTATTCACATATGTAGAAAATGATTCAGTCCGATGTGTTATGGAGATATGGTACGTCTATAAAGCCCCATTGTTAATCGTCGTCCTCGAACGAATAGCCATGTGAAAGGTTACAAACGACGAATAAAAGCAGAATTTTCTACCCATCCACATATTTATCAGTTTATAGATACATTACGCATGCAACATGAGTACCAACATCATGTTGTTGAAGAAAGTCAGGTTCAACTACGAAGACGTAAGAAAATTGACGATAAAATTGATATGAAACTTGATGTATTGCATGAAGAACACAAAAATAAACAATTAAGCGATGTTCAATTAGCAATACAGTGTGATCGTACTGTTAAGACAAGACTGTTAAAATAGTGACAATAGAAATTTAAACTTCACTATTGTTGATATTGTATTGTAATTTTTTTTTGATAAAGCTCTACGATACAAAAAAACATTACTGCTTGCTTTCTAACCAACCAGGGACGAATCGAGAATAAACCTTTTTTTATACTTTTTTTCAACGGAGAGAGCTGAAATTTTTATCACATATGTATTGAACGAAGATCTTTTATTCCTGCAAGTTTCAGCTCTCTACTTTTAACTAATGGTAGAATCCGTCGACAACATTGAAGTACATGAATTTTCCTATTTGATTTTGCATTATTTCTACTGCGAAAATAAAATGTAAAAAAGGATGTGGATGTGAGTGTTCTCTTTTTCTTGTCTTACACTTACACTCCCACTGACAGACCGACATGGTGACGAAGTGTAGTGATTATCACAGCAAAAATTTTGAAATAATGGATAATTGGACAAAAATCGTTCAGCAAAACAATTTCTCAAGCAATTGCTACAGCAAAAATTATTATTGTCACACCAAATATTTTGATTCTGGCTCATCATTTCACATTCGCACAGCGACGTTTAACCTTCGAACACACTGAAGCACACATTTCATGTAAGAGTTGATCAGGCCAAATAGTTCGCGACCTGATCTGACTTGGTAGCCTGATCGGTGCTAGTTCAGTTCTATGAATCAATTTTTTTTCAAACATTGGGTCCAGTGTGCAGTTAGTTTTCAAATAAACTTGTTCTATCGATAATGGAAACCTACTGATGCTATTCAGTAGTTATTTCAATTGTGAAAAAAGAGTTGGGTAACTAACCATAGTTTAGCTCTTTGGTTGAGAAATTTTACTCAGCACCCTGTTCCTACCCTTGTTACGCCACTATACATTCACACTTATCGTATAAAAGTAATGATGATTTCAAGAAACAATACCACTTCTAATGTGCACTTCTGTTTGTATTTATGAAATTCTTATTCGTCGAAGCTAGTTCAAGATGAATTAACATGATAATATGATCTGACGACTTTTGAATTGAATATATCTTATTCTTGCTTTTCTTTGTTCTTTAACTGAAATTACTTTGAAAATAAACATGAATGTTACAGAAAAAAGTCTGTCTTAGAATATATAATGAAATCAAAATCTTACACATATTAGTCTTAATAAATGTTACCTTTTCATCTCTAGTTTTAATTTCTGTATAAATCATATGCTTATTTTTTTCTTTTCAAACACGGCTGTTAAACCAAAATGATCTGATGGAAACACAGGTAAGTGTTCTTGATTGCCGATACTTTGATTTCCTATAGTTTGAATATCAGTTGGAATAATTGTTTAAGAAAATAATTCGATCATATCTTGATTGATCTGATGTTCTACAATGAAGTTTTGTCATTAAATTTGTTTCTGTATCAAATGTGTAGCCATGATTATCGGAATCCATTAAATAAGTCCAAACATCAATCCATTTTGGTGATCTATTAAATTGATCAAGATTTTCTTGACCATTTCCATTAAAATTAAAATCTCCCATTAAAATATAACTACCTGGAGAATGATTAAATTTCTTTTGACATATATCTAATTGATATGATCGTTGTTCTTTATTATTCAAAGATTCTAAATGAACAGTACCAATACGAACGATTTCGTCTTGATCTAATTTTATTTCTGCAAGTATTAAACGACGACCCATTGTTGACTGAGGAAAATCAATTAAATTTATATCAGAAACATGAAGTTGAATATCGATTAATAAAACAACGCCATACCAAGTATTGAATATAGGACCATCGAAATCAGATAAATAATATCGTTCTTGAACAAATGATTGAGATGAAAGTTGTTGAAGAGTATTTTTTGTCACTATTTATATATATATATGAAAATCAAAGATATTTCTTTTATTAGAATAAAAATTAGAAAAAACAACGAACTTTCTTGTAAACCAATTATTTGAGCTTGAGATTTGTTTAATATATCACATAGGCTGTTAAAACGCATCGGTTGATATTCACCCGAAAACAAAATATTATATGTAACAACACGAAATTTCTCCCAATGTATTGTTGAATTATTTTGATCAGGTTGTTTTTGTGCTCATCGTTTTTTTTGTTCTTTATTATATTTCCATAATGGAATCGAGAGTTCTTCTTTTTGCATGTTATGATCTAGATGAGTAGATTTTTGACCCATTAAAATTGAACAAATTGCGATGCTTGTTTCTTTTTTTTGTCCAATTTTTTTATTAACCAAATTGTGGCTGTTCTTCGAGGATAGAAAACAAAAAAAATGTGACACAAAACACACTCCTATCAGATGTTATTTCAGATGAATCATAATAGTTTTTATAGTTCGCTAGAACAGAAGACAAAGAAAAAAATGAATAATAAGGATACTCTGAAAATTTTCTCTCATATCGAACTTTGTAGAGCTTTTTTCGCTGATCATTTTGGTAAAAAAAGTTTTTGATTTTCATTGAGTAATGACGATGTTATAGTCAAAATACTAAACACTGTAACATAAAGTAGGGAAAAAAGTTAAGCACACTTTTAGTATTTGGCTAATTTTTACGTTATTTCACAACATCTGAAAGATGTTCTATATACCATTCGACGCAGAATTTAATGGGCTACATTTTGTTAACAAGCACTTATGCTTATATTCAGTGGCGGCGGAGCCCTTACGCTTGGGGAGGCTCAAATATTTAAAAAAATTTTTACAGATCTCATTCTGATTTTATTTTTCGGACGTGATAACCATTTGAACAAGTATTACTTGTTTTTTAGGAAAAGATTATGTTCAGTCCGATGTTAGACGACAGACATTTATAACTGTATTATTTTCAACACGTCTTCACATATTACTACTAGCGCCTTTTTGATGAAGAGGAATAGTCAACTCATTGAACACATCGCTGGTACTCGGCGTATTTTTATCTACTACTAAAACTTTTATTATCATCCTCACTTCATTGTTTTAAGATTTTGAACTGATGAACAATAATCTTTGCTTTGTGTTTTATGGGAAGGACATTGCACTAGTTCAGTTTTCTGTTACTTCTTCGCAATAATTTGAATATTCTTCTTCTTATTATTATTACTATTAAATATATATATATTTAGAAAAATTTCATTCACATACGCAGTGGTGTAGCCAGGATTCTTTTAGCATTGGGTCATTATCCAGCAGAGCCCTTTTGAGGAGTGGGCAGCCATGAGCAATTCAAAGTTTCATTTTGCTATATTTTCTCTGCTGGTCCATTATACTTTTTAGATGCAAGAGCATACCTGAACTTCAGACTCCGATTGGGTAAAATTTTTTTCACTCACTGGCGTAAAAACCTCTAGTGTATTATTTATTTTCAAATTACTGCCAGCGAAATTTTCTTCTGCATTTGCAAAAATTCTAATTTGCATAAAAAATAGAATGTCAGTATTAGAATTCAATCTTTGTTACACATAGAAAAATGTACAGATAACGCTACTTAAGGGGACCAATTTTCGGAACAGTCGTAAAAAGTTTGACTGATAAAATTTAGAATTCAGTATGAAAAATGAGAACAAATTGATTTTTATAGTAGCAACTGAAAAAAACCATTCTTCATTTTGTACTTCACCGCCGAAGGCGGCAATTTTTTGGGAAATAATTGAAAATTTCGGGCTGAAACTTTGATTATTCAACATCAATGGCACGGAAGCTAGCTTTTTATTTTCATGTATGCGAGAATTACGCTTTATTACATATTTCACTACCGGAGACGACCACGCTCGTACCCTTTATATGCCGAAAGCTCCCTGTAGACTTCAAAAAAATGCAAATGTGTCATTTCTTAAATGTAACTTTAACTAAAAATCCAAGAATATATAACACTGGAAGTAAAATGAATAGAAAGAAACATGATAGCTTGAAAAACGTTCGCGGAGCAAAAAATGTTTGACAAACGCAAGGAAATCATGCCTAAAAATCTTTTTTTCTAAGAAATTTGTCTCAAAAAGCCGATATAACAGTTGCTGAAAAATGTCTTCCTATCAGCGTTTCCAAAGGTAGGGTGGAGGTAACTCTCTATCCTCGGTTTTTACATCTCTAGTTAGCCTATATATAGTAATAAAACACTATAACCCTAGCATATTGATCGACCTGCGTGTTTCGTCTGTTTGTATATTGATGAAAGAAGAGGAATGAAGAAGCTGCCTTTGTTTTTCAATCCTATATTAACCGCATAAATGATGTGTAATGGGAAACATACATTTCGCTATTAGTTATAAAGTACAGTCCAGTAGGGCTAATAACTATTTTGAGCGGGATTCTCCATTCCAGTACGAAATCCGAGTCGGCATTTCCCGTATTATATATTGTAATTCCCTTTTCAGAATTTTTAGAAATTATAATGATAATTTCTGTAAAATTCTCATAAAAAATAAGAGCCTGCCTCCGCTTTCATTGAATGCGACCTATTGACCGTTATCATGGTCTTCTCATACGCACTTTCAATGATCTTCTTTCACTCAACTATACTCAAGTTTAGTATCTCTGAATGATTATATGTGACAGACACGTAAGCAGATCAGGACCCAAAGGACAGAGTACATGTAAATCTTCTTACTAACTAAATTACATTCAATTCGATTTAACACCAGTAAACTACAAAATTTTACTAAACATGACGAGATTTGTAGAGAATGCACAAATATCTATATTTGTGAGTAACGGACAATTGCTATCATTCTAAAAAAGTATTGGGCAATTGTTATCATTCTCAAAAATCATTGGGCAATTGCCCAACCCTGGCTACACCATTGTGATGGAGCAATTGAAAACCTCTCTACCTCCTACCATATTGTTGTTACGTTTTTGTTCGAAAAAAATTTTCAGTCTCCCCTAAATTAAAATCGTTCCGCTGCCTCTGAACATCATCATTAAAAATCCATCCTAACATCACAACCATTAACATCAATCAACAACCAATTCGAAAAATTGTTACCGGTGATCTTCAACTTATTTCCGATGATGACGATGATGATGAAATATTTATGAATCAATGTCATGTACCTATTTCCAACAGTTCTTCAGTATATGAACCAATTTCCGACGATGAACCTCAAATATTTATCCCGGTTAAAGATGATGAACAACAACAGCAACAACCGCCTTTACTTGAACAACCTCCACATAAACAACGACGAACTACTGAAGCTCGACGTCGACGAAACCGAAAACGAAACAATACTCATCTTTTACATCGTTATCGTTATACTTTAATTCGTCGAATTTACTCCCGATTTACCATATCGTCAATCAAAACAATTCTTCGGCAACATCATGTTCGATATACACATGTGAAGGTTGTTGATTCATCATTACTTATTGGTGTAAAAAATTCGACGCTCAAACATAAAACCGATCAACATTTACCCGGTGATACATTTGATCGATCTCATTATTATTTACATCGTCGTCAATCTCGCCATTCCAACAACAGTACCAAGTGATACACATGAACAATAACAATAGTAAGCACCTTTTGTTATTTTCTTTTTTTGTTGCGTTATTTTTTTCTCATTGTCAGATATTTTCTATTATAATAAATATATATTATTATTATTCTATTTTTTCTTTTTTGTTGTCTCTTTTCTTCTTTTTTTGTGGTCGTTAAATAAAAAAAAAGTCTTTGTAAACAAAAACTTTTTTTCTTGATCCGGGAAGGGTGTTAGGATCTGACATCTTTAACAGTTAGTAAGAGATCAACAGCGCCTATGGTTAGTTGTTTGTTTCTTCTTCTTTTTTTTCTTCCCTCTCTCTCTCTATATATTATCTATGTTATGTTCCTGAGGTACTCCCTGCCTTACTTATATTATATTATATTATGAAATAAACTTAACCTTTAAAAAAGGAACTTAACAATATCATATAATCGTCAACTGTGACGATTTTCAGATAGAAGAAGTACTAGCACTGATGGAACTATGCTTTATTGAGCTTCTTCATATCATCAATTGCATCGTTTACATACAAAACACACGCTTATATACGCAAACAAGAGAGAGAAGGATAGAAAGAAAAGATAAGAGGAACAAAGAAGAAGAGGAACAACAAAGGAGAGGAATATCTGAATAATAGGAAGACTAATTAGGAAAGAGAATGGATATATCGATGTTGTCACAATCACCTTGACCGAACAGAAGGAAAGAAGAAGATAACCGATTATAAGAAGAGAGTAGTTGAGAATGACGCAAGTTTGTCCTCTATCTTTTCACAAGTTATGGACAATGATAAATCCTTGTTACATGATTAATGAGAGATAGTACTTAACCAACTTCGTACCTAATTTAGCTGTGTCCTTCTTATTGGCACACTGCTTTGCTGACTATTCTCCCTAAAACCAAGTTTTGGAGGTGAAGATCGACTCTGAAAAAGAATTAGTAGAATTAATGGACAATAATTTGAGACAGATTTTGACATTAAAAAAAGGCAGGTGAAGGTACATATATTACTTTAGTTTTGAATATTTCTCTTCCTCAATGGCTTGTGGCTGATCAAATCTTAACTTTAGTCGAGTTCAATAGTCAAATCAATCTGTATGTCTCAGATACAGGTAAACTTTATTGTCAATGTAACGACGAAAAACGCGAGAGTAAATCGACTATTCCACTAAATGAATACATTCGTTTATGTATCACTATTCGACATCATCCTAATCTACAAGAAGTTTTCAGTGAACTATGTGATACTGAAAGACTGATTGTTGATTTAAAACGAACATTTCCATCATTAATCAAGGAATTAGGTACATTCGAACAAACATTTGGTGACATTCAATGGCGTCATAAACTCAATTCTGAGAGCTTCTATTTACCGAATAGAATTGAAGAACGAGCGAAAGCGATTCTTCAATGGCTAATCAATCAATCTGAACGAAATATTGTTGTTATCTCGTATAATTTAATGTTGAAAGCAATATTTCAATTACATAATCAACTTATTGATACGAAAAATGGTGACATTTAAATGATGAAATAACAATGTTAGAGTTTTTCATTCAATTACAAATAGGCGAGCAAATAAAAAATTAAGCTTAGAATGGATTTTCCTTCTAGATCATCGTTTCTCGTGGGTTTTGTTATTTATTTCGAAAAAGAAATAGTTATTTGTCGAAAAGGTGTTTCTTCGAGATGATCTTGCTGTGAACGATATCTAATCACCTTGCCATCCGGTCTGTTTGAGCCAATCTTCGAAGGTTTTTAATTTCCATAGCTTTTGTCCCGTTGTCCAATCCTTGTCTTTACCATAATAACTATATTCTTCAAACCATTTGTAACTATCAACCAGATCATCTTGAGCGCCTATCGGCATTTGATATAATATCGATCGAAATTCTTCTTCATTGATTGTTTTTGATATCGCTGCTTTTCCAGTGACTTTGGTAAAGACTTTTGAGATATCCGCAAAACGAATAGCGTCACCGCAAATGCAAATATCTTGACCGATGAATGTTTCCGGATTAGTGAGAATTTCACGAACTACGGTACCTGTGTCTTCGATGTCTAATAAATGTAATTTCGTTTGGGAATCAATGGGAGCAGTAAACACCAGTGTACCATCATCGGATTTAGTTGGTTTGAAAAGTTTTTGCCAATTTTGCATATAGACACCAGGTTCAACAAAAATCGCTTTTAAATCCGGATGTTGTCGTTTGATATAATCGCGTAATCTCGATTTCTGCGAGAAATGTGGTACATTACTGAGAAATTAGACATGACAGCAAATCAATAAAGATATAAAACAAGCTACTTACTATCTTTCTCCGCTCAATTTATTCACATCTTCAAGTGCACTGAAGATAAAATAAGGTATCGGATTGAGTGAAGCGGCAGTATCAGCCATTCTTCTACCTTGTTGCATTTCAAGTTTAAGTTGATCGGGGTGTCCCCAGGAATCCGTCACTGCATAGATAGCCCAAGAATCTTTGAATGCACGTTGAACATCATCACTCCTATTGATATCATACATCACCATGTCAATATCATCACTCAAACGTTTTACTGCTTGAGACTTCTCACTGTTTGGATCACGTGTTAAAGCACGAATCTTTACACAAGCACAAAAAAATGATTGGCATTGACACATCAACAATCCTTGATTACCTTATATTTTCCTGTTTCAATCAGCGATCGAACAACTGCACCTCCTTGAGCGTCAGTTGCTCCAACAACAGTAACAATACGACGGTCAGCCATGATAAGTTTCAACTGAATGTCTTAGATCGATTGACGCAAAATTCTTTTTCTTTTTTTCCTCTAGATATATCCCTAACTAGGACGATGACAAGGATATAACCAGAATAATCACAAAAGAACACTAGATGACAGAGAAATCGACGTCAAATAGTATAGAAAAAAGAAAAACAATGGGGCTGTGTAGTTAATGTGTAAAACAAGAGAGACAGAAGCATGTGGGAGGAGACATCGAATCTATCTGGCATGAATATGGTGATCTGTTTTACTCGATAATTGATGTATTCGAATTTCGATAGAAACGAGACTGTAGAACAAGTACAAAATCATTCGTCATTTTATTCGAAATTTAAAACCATTTTTTTCGTTTAAAACAACAGAGCATAATTAATATTAGTCGAGCCATGCCGATGAGAACACTAAAATATCCCTATTTCCAATGAATTTCTGGCATAGTCTCAAAATTCATTCCATAGACTCCAGCAATAAATGTCAAGGGAATAAATATAATCGAGATAATTGTCAATGTTTTCACAACTTCATTCATCACATTGGAATTTAAAATCATATAGAAATCAATGAATGATGCTAATATCTCCCGATAAGTATCAATGGTATCGTTTACTCGAACGATATGATCGAAAAGATCTTTCAAATAAATATTCGCACTTTCTCGCATAATCTCTGTTTCTTCTTTTTTTTTTTGTAACTTATTGATAATTTCTTTCAATGGTGAGATCGAACGACGAATTGAATTGGATTGTTGTACTCTTCTTGTTTATACGAACAACTTTTTATTTATTCAGACGATTTTTTAGGCATCCGACCACCTTCGTCAGTGCAGATCTCACAACAACAAATATAACTTTAATTCTTATTCTCTTATATTTCGAACATCGTAACCTTACGGTAAGGACTCTTTTTCTTTTCTTTTCTTTTTTTTTCTAATACTGATACAGAATCAAGATGGTAAACTGGGCAAGGAACAACAACTATTTGTCATCGTCTTTTTCCGCACCAGTGTTAGAAAGAAAAGAAAAGAAAAGAAAAGAAAAGAGAAAGAGCCCTTACCGTAAGGTTATGACGTTCGAAATATAAAAGAATAAGAATTAAAGTTATATTTGTTGTTGTAAGATCTGCACCGACGAAGGTGGTCGGATGACTACCGAAACGTCTGAATAAATAAAAATTTGTTCGTATAAACAGGAAGAGTACAACAATCCAATTCAATTTGTCAAAATGACCTTCCTTAAAACTGTCAATCGAACGACGAAAAAAGAGCATTTCACGTTTAAGATGGTAGATAGTTTCTAATATATCACGTGATACTCGTCGCATTAATTGATGATCAATGGCTTCGACTTTCGTTCCAATCACATCAAGCACATTCATATATTGATCGACCATTATATCCATCAGAGTAAAGAAAAGATAGTCGATTTTTGATCCACCAAGACGACCTTTATTCTGTTGACTTCGATCTAAAAATATCCGATGAAGAAAGGAAAGAGAAAAACGAAAAATTACGAACATTTAATTGGTTCAAAGATATCTTTCAGTTTTTCTTGAAATGCATCCCGTCCCACCTTATTTTCCCCTCCCACACTGTAAAAAATAAGCGTATAATAAAAAATGAAAACACCGCTTTAGAATTTGCAATCAGTTATGAACCCTTGGAAACGTTCTTAGAAACATCAACATATCCTTTCAAAAACCCTTCCAAATACGTCTTGGCGCTTCCTCTGAAACCCTTTTTAAGGGTATATTACACCGTTTACCATTATATCTTAAAGCCTTTTAGGGTTCGTAACTGATTGTAAATTCTAAAACCCTTTTCGAGGGTTTATTACTTTTATGAACCCATCCTAAAACCATCGTTGATGGAGAAACGAACGGCTCAAAATGAATTACACTCTCAGTTTTTCAAGATTATCTCTTTCATTTTTCGTCACACGAGACTCTAAATGCTTTTTACAAGGTTCATGGTGCAACTTCCTTTAGAACAGTAGACTTCATTTCACAAAAACATTTTCGTCTATCTTTCAGAGAGGACACGGTTCAACGATAGTATCGAGCATTAAGTCAAAATCTCAACTTTGACTTCATACTTGATCCTCTAATCCAATTATGTTGTTTCTCATAGATAAACGAAGATGTCTCTGTCAAATGAAGTCTACTGTTCTGAAAAAAGTTCCCAATGAACCGTGCAAAAAAGCAGTTAGAGTTTCATGTGACAAAAAATGAAAGAAATAATCTTGAAAAACTGAGAGTGAAATTCATTCTGAGCTCTTCGTTACTCAGGCAACATAGGTGTGGGTGTGTGTATGAGTCTTCTCTCATACAACACCCACACCCAAAATCATTAGGAGTAACACTGTGTAAAAAGATGTATTTATGTTTAAACCAGTCGTAAGAATTCCGTTTATAGCCGACAATCCTTTAAAAGTATGTGCTTTTAACGCTGAAATAAGTGTGTCATGTACAGGAAACTACACTGAAAAGAAATGGTATGATACCGAGCTAAAAAGAGTACTGCGAATGAAAAAAAGGTTTCGTACATAGTACGGAGCCTAAAAAGGTTTCGAATTCGTTGCAATTATCTGAACCATTTTAGGTTCGGTAAAGACCACTACGAAAAAATTGAAAAGGTGCCCTGAGTCAATGACAATCAATTTTAATCACCCAAAGTTTTGTACGAAACCTTTTGAGGATTCGTATTGCCTTCAAAAATGGTTCAGTACACTGCAAAAACAATTCTATGATTACGGAACCATTTTTGAAGACAATACGAAACCCTCAAAAGGTTTCGTACAAAACTTTGGGGGACTAAAATTGATTGTCATTGACTCAGGGCACCTTTTCAAGTTTTTCGTAGTGGTCTGTACCGAACCTAAAATGGTTCAGATAATTGCAACGAATTCGAAACCTTTTTAGGTTCCGTACTATGTACGAAACCTTTTTTTCGTTCACAGTACACTTTTTAGTTCGGTATCGTACCATTTGTTTTCAGTGTATTTGATACTGTGTCATTAGTTATAAGTTAAATTTATCATTCATTAAGAATTTAGAGTCTCTGTAAAAGTAAAAGAATGAGAACAAGTAGTCAATAAAATTTTGAAAAAGATTTTCTATCCTTGTTCCAGTAAAGAATAAACAATAAGAGAGATGAAGGGTTGAAAGTAGGTGTGGCATATTAATATTAAGGCTTGGAAAAAAACATCACTTTATGGAAATATTCCTGCTTGTCGTTCATTCATGTCCGTTTTAACGAACAAATAATCATCCTGATAATGTGTATAATAAATTTAAATTCGCGACAGTATTTCAACCCACATGTACAAGAATACACAACAGCATTGATTCCAATAATTATAAGTTAACTAACTTTTCATGTCTTTTCGGTTCTCAATACACATATAAACATACATACGTACACACGCGCTCATTTATATTGACACTCTGACACTAACATCGACATCAATAATAATAGAATGCATAAATTCATCTATATGAAGGATAGAGGAAAAGAAGAAAAGAAAGGAGAAAGCTATATGAGAGGACAATATGTGTGATATTGTAGATCAGCACAACAACGATTATAATACTGTTTTTATCGACTTTTTTTGCAACATATGAGTTATAACCATTCTCTGTACTGATCACTAGATAAATACAATACAACAAAAAAAATCAAGCAGAAATCTTTAAAAAATCAGATTTTCAAAATAAAATTTAGAGTGTTGGTAGGAATGCAGACCGGACACATTTTTGCAA